ATTTTATATAATGAAGGACTCCATACTGGATCTGTAACTCTTTTCTGATTCTCCATACCTCCTTTCCACTCTGCATTTATATTCCAAGAAAGCAACTTTATTCATGCTCTCATGCTCTTTTTTCTTTTTTCTCTAAAGTTCAAAAAAAACTAATAGTTATTTTATATAAAATATCCAGAATCAAGTAATGAAGTTCATATAGATAGTCTTAGTTACCTGATCTACATATCTTACAATCGATCACTTTTTTTATGACCCTTTAGAGTCGCTTCTTTGGGCTTGCGAAGCAATGGCACTTCAAGCCTATCTATATTCTATGTGCATCTCACAAACCACATAACCACAATAATTAACGGAGCTAGAAAAATATATGCTGATAGAGGTGACATCAAAGTGCTTGCCACAGCAGGAAGAGGCAGAGTTTCGATACTAGATCTCATCACTCCTATTCCTCCTATCGGAAGAGTCAAAGTCTCAGGACCAGATCTCATCTGGGTATTTAATTTAATCAAAGAAGACAGATTATTTTTTGGCTGTACAAGGTATGAAGCCACAATCAGTATTTCTTAGAGTATATTGTTGTTAGTTTTACTAATATCGATTTCATCATCACTTCTCTTGGAGTTGACCTCGGTATCATTTTTTGATAGTTCAGTAATCTTATTATGCCTCTTTGAGATGCCTAAAGGCCTAGTATACATTGAAATATTACTATTATTTTTTTCTATTGGATCCATATTTTTTATTGCAAAGCAATAGTTCTTCGAACCTCCACATATAAATATTTACTGAGATTTTTATTGTCAGAGGTAGTTATAAACTAACTAGGTGAGGCATAGCCTCAAATCTCTGATTCCTTACTAACCACAGAAATATTACTAAAGTTTGATCTATTTTTTATTGTGGAAATAATAGAGCTCAGTCTCTCGACATTCCTACTAATTACAGATTTTAATATAGTCTCTGATTTTAGCCACTCAAGCTCATTGGCCTTCGATAAGACATAGTCTCGAGGCTTCACCTCTTCCAATTTGCTCTTTATATTTTCTAATTATGCTATTTTGGATTTGAGAGACATAATCTTAGTTTCTTTTTTTGATAAGTCATTTTGAATCGAAATCATATCTTTCTGGGCTGAAGACAACTTACTTTCCAATATCTTGATCATAAACTCAAGTGATTTAATTTTTTTGGATTTCATAATATTCTCAGCCTTGGATTCAGCAATATAAATATCCTTTTGTGCATTATGAAAAATAAGATTAGTATTTTCATTTTGTATTTGCTTATACTTATTAATAACCTGCAAAATGTGGGTGCGTAAATTTTGAATCTTGGTATTATTTTGTAATGAATTCCAATTTCACTTCTTTCTTTCTCAATCAAACACCTTTATTTGCTTTATGTATTTATCCTGCAATTTCTCACTAAGCTTATTAATTTTGGCTTTGGACTTGATAGTGTCATGTATTTTTTTTTCTAGCTCTTCTTCGTGTATACTACCAAGTCGATGACCTTTAATATTTTGAAATGTATATATATTAGCCAACATATTAGTATCTTGTGCTTGCTCTGCTAAATAATAGATAATATATAAAGATACAAAAAGTAAAATATATCTCCAGTAAATATTATTTTTTATATATCTGTATATTTTTAAATATAATAAAACATTTCTAAACATTCTAAGATATTCTGAAATATTTGTATATTTTTCATTATATATCAACTACTATATATATAACTAATATTTCAAAATATTTCAATACTTTTTAAAACTTTTCTTTATATGTAATAATAAAAATATTTCTGCAAAGCAGAACATTTACGTGGTCGATATGGGATGTATCCATAAAAAATATTATAGTACTAATGCAATATTTCTTTCAGATAAGGCGATTCAAGAAATTAAAGAATCAATAGGTATAATACCTGATGCAATAAATACAATAGCAAAAAAATATCACATATCTCACTCTCATGATGTTGATTATATTGAAAATCGAGAATGCTAATAACAAATAAATTCTCGATTATGAATTGAAAGTGAGGTTTTATTGCAGAGTGACAGTTCTTCAAATCTACATTTGGATGAGACAAAGTCTCAAGTTAAAGACTCATCTACTACTTCCCTCAATACAGAAATAAAAAAGAAAAGTTCAAATCTCGGTCTAAATCTATTCGCATATCTGATTCAGTACCTAGCAGTAACTCAATACTAGTTGATACTGATGACTCTACAAAAAAAATAACTAGCAAGGATCTGGATGTATTATATGAAAAAGAAGCTAGAAGGGATGAGAAAAATATAACGAATATGACTCGCCTATTAGCCTCTACTTAGTTTATCTTTTCTTTATTTATACTACCATCTTTAGAGGAGATATATTCGAGTAGCTTTTCATAATGTATTTGCAACTTTTTACAAAGACCATTTATTTCAGCTTTAGACTAGAGAGTAATATATAACGATTTTTCTAACATCTCATAGCTCATGTGTTTTTTTTTAAAGTCAAATTATTGCAAATTAATGGGACTTTGTCCCTATTCTGAATCGCAGTTGCATAGTTTACTTTAAGTTTATTCTTGACTTTGTACATAGTTACTAGGATAATAAATTTTTTGTCATTGTAGTAAATCTCCATTTTATCATTGCCCAATCTATGGTATATTTATATTTTTTGAGAAGCAGATTCAGGAATATTAACATTGGCTTATAGTATTTTACAACTACAAAATTTTCATATATACAGTAGTCCAACTAGAAGTTACTATAATAGGTAATTTATATACAATACCAATAGATTCAATTAGAATAGTGGCAATACTACTTAGATTATATTTTTCTGATTTATCTATTTGTGCACCCACACATTTAACAATATCTTCTGTTATAATTGTCATTTTAGCACCACTATCGAGTAGCATTGCAGGGATTTTTAGGCACTTTATCTTATATTTTATAGTTGCAAGGCTTGTAGTAGATTCTTTTTTTTTTTGAATGAAATCTATCTCCATAGAATCATCTAGCATTTTATTCTCTCTATCAAAAGAATCAAAGATTCGAGTCTTTGCCTTATCAGGTATTTCTGAAACTGGTTCTCAATAATTATTATTGTGAAGCAATGCCTCTTTGGGTCTTTCCTGAATAAATAGTAGCTTACTGAAATTGGGTTAAGACTTAGTAACAAATATGGAGGTAATAGTTCTTTTAATATATTCATAACAATTTCACAAATTTCTTCTAGAGAGGTTTGCTTTGATTTGTGATATTTGGGTAAGTTAGAAACTCAAGATTTCGATCTTTCATTCTTAGACTTAGATTTCTTAAAAATCTGCTTCTAGTTTACTTTTTTTTGACTTAGTAATATTAACTTGCATACTCTCAATTTCAGAGGAGGTATTATCAGAGTCAGATTTAGAATCAAAATTATTATTAGAAGAGCTATATTCAGAACCTGAATCAGAACTAGAATCATTAGTAGCCATATTAATCTTACTTTTTTTCTTGGATCTGCTTTTCTTTTTATTTTTCTTTCAGGAACAGCTATGAGAATTATGTTCTATTCTACCGCAATTTGAGCATTACTGCTGAGATTTTTTAACAGTTTTAGCAATAAAATTAATGTTTTTGGCCATTTTTGCCATATTCAATGGCATGTCTGCCATACCTTTGGTAATTTTATCAATGTTATTAGTATTTGGTATAATGTTCTTTTTTATTTGTAGTTTTGGAGATAAAGAAGAGGCCTGTATGGGGACAAATTCTGAAGTGTTACTATAAAGCTATAGTAATAATCTATTAATATTTTCTTCATAAATTTTTTTAGATATTTCTGCAGGTTGTAGTCGAAATTGTAAAGAAATGGGTTGTGAAGTAGGTTGTTAAGATTGTACCAAAATTTGTTGTGTCCATGAGTCTAATTGAGATTTTACTACATTTTCTATATCACTTATTGTTATTCTACTATTGTCCAAATGTAGGTCAGTTTTTGGTTTCATTATTTCTTTTGGTATAATTGTCAATTGGGATGTAATTGGTGAAACTTGAGAGGTTTGATCAGGAATAGAGCCTCTATACAAATTCGGAGGATGTTCTAACTGCATATTTTTAAGTTCTATAAAAAACACATTAATGCTAGCAGGATTAGCAATTTTCATCCAAGTATAAAGCTCTCCTGATAAATGTTCTTTAAGTAGTCCTAAGATATTGGCATCATTATTAGCAACTCCTAATAAAAGAAGATGAATTCTAGCTTTATAAGTTTCTGGATTATCAAATGGTAAGAATTTTTCTTGTACTAATCTTTGAGTAGCAACTTGTTGTATTCCAACTATCTCTGTCTGATATTTATAATACAACCAAACAATAAAATAGGCTGGGGTATCAATATTATTACTAGCATGTTGAGCGAGTATATTTGTACATTTTTTAGCTATCTTACTTTTTAAAATATTTGCTTGAAGCAGATGATTAAAGGCAGCTAATGTAATCAATGGTAAAGTTAATATTTGATTAATTCTTTGACACTATTCATCTGGTAGAATCTGTCTACTATAATTTGGAATCTGTGCAATTAATGGTGCAATGCTGGTTAAGTCTCTAGCAACTGTAGCCATATTTGGTGAGTTATATTGTAGTGCTAAAATTTGTTAATTAAAATTATTATTTAATTATTCAGAATTTCGTACCTGAGTTAACCACTTACCCCACTTGTTGTCTAGTTGAACATCAGCAAGTAATAGATCATTTTTTAGAGTCTTGCATTTATTTTTCCATTTGTTATATCGATCTGTTGTAAGATTTAAGAGATGTATAGTAATTGCCTCATTTGTCTTACAATCTTGTAGTTGCTGATAGGCTTTTCTATTTTTGAATCTTAATGCAAAGCTTTCTAGAAGCAATTCAGATATTTAGTTTTTTTTGTGTACAAATTGTAATTTAACCATCAAGTTCTTGAGATTTAAATATATTGTATTGTGTTCTGTGAGTTTCATAAGCCTGATGAAGAAGATCATAGTTATTTTGAAGTGTAGCTAACTGGATTTGTGAATTAGTTAACTGGGTTTGCAAATCTGCTACTTGATTTTCTGTATAAATTGCACAAGCATTTGCCTGCGGATATATATCTAGTACTAATTTTTCAAACCTATCTCCAGCATCAGAAATTATATTAAGATAATCCACAATACCATTAATTGTAGATGTTATTGCGATTGGGCTTTGAAAATACTGTCTAATATTATTAATTTCTCACTGAATCCTATTATTCTGAATAGTAGCTTGGTTTTCTGGCAAAGATAATCTGAGTGATTCTGGTTGTTGTGCCATATCTATAGCAAGGTTATAGTTATTCGAATCTATATTATTATTGCCATTTTTATATAAAATAAGTATTTTTATTTTTTCATTAAGCTTGTCTATTTCATCTTGAAAAATTACTAACTGCTTTTTCAAATAGTCTATATAATTCTCTCAGCTTTCAAAATCTTGAAGAGTTTTTTTCAACTATTCTTTAATATCAGAAATTTCCTGTCATAATAGATCTAGTTCTCCATCTCAAATCAAAATTTCATTTTCAAGATATTTAATGTAACTCTCTTTTAAGTCTAGATTCTATTAAAATTTACAGAATCAATTTTTTATTATCTGCAAACTAGCTTCAAATTTTTTGATTGTTTTACTAGGTGGAGATACTATCGTATCTGATGGATACAAGCCTATAATATATTAATGCTTTTAAAAACTTTACCAAATAATAATTTATTAATATAGTGAAATGTATTAAAAATAAACCAACCTAGTATCATAATTAGTACTAATAAGGAATTGGCCCTAGTTTGCTAGTTATTATTCTATTAACCAATAGAGTATTATTCCAACCCCCAAAAATTATGAAAAGATCTTAAAGCAGAGAGATATCAATTTCTATATAAAAAAGTATGTGAGTAATTACAAACCAGAATGAATAGCAAAAACATGCCCTACCACCAAAAGATACTCTATGGGTTAGTTATGGTAAAATTTCATATTCAAATTATGTATATTAGTGTGATCTCTTGTTTCTTACACATGATCACTACAAAAATAAAAAATAGATAGCAGTATTTAACATAATAGATGTAGCTAGCAGGTTCAAGCTGAGTGTTCTTCTCATATCAAAGAAAAGTTCAGAGGTTGCTAAAGCATTTAAGAAAATTTATAATAATTCCAATAACCCTCTTATATACCCGACACTTCTACAATGTGATAATGAGAAAGAATAGGCAGAACAGACAAGCCAACTAATGAAAGAACATGGTATAGTAATTCAAGTTATTGGTTCATATTCCCATCATAGTATAGCAATTGTAGAGAGATTTAATAAAACTCTAGCGAAAATACTATATAAAGCTCAATATGCTGTTAAAAGTATAACTTCGAATTCTAAACTAATAAAAGCATAGATTAAGCATTTGCCAAAAGTTATTGATTATCTAAACAATTATTCAACACATCTCATCTGAGCTTTAGGTTCTTCAAAGTGGGTTTAGCTCCCAAGAAAGCCATCAAGTTAGAAAAGATAGAATCTAGGCCATCTACAAAATATAAGTGTCCAGTTAGAAAAAATGAGGAGAATAAGTTAAAGAAGGGTGATACAGTTCATTATTTGCTTGCTAATGCAGAGTGGAAAGGAGGTATGGAGAATCAGAAAAGAGTTACAGATCCAGTATGGAGTCCTTCATTATATAAAAT